AAGCTCTATTTTACGGGCAGCGCAGCAACGTATCGTATGAGTCCTTGCCAAGCGCCAAAGCATCTTTTTTGTGTTGCTATGGAGCAACGTGATGCATGGCTAAAGAAAGGGTGTCGAGAAAGCCAAATTGCCAAAGCCACTCAACGTTTTTCTCAGGCGCAATGCTCTTCGGGAGCGCGGCCACATGAACGCAATGGTGTTGCTGACAACCTGTTGCGGGCCTGGAGTGAATATGCTGGATGTGATTGCTCAAGTGAGCCAAGACACGACTTTGCGAGGAGTGTATTCTGAAAAAATGTGGCTTCAGTACCTGATTTGGTCAGTTGAGATAATTATTGAAAGCATTCAGAAACTCGGAGGAATCTACACGGATTGTCGTGGTGGGAACATTGTTCCTTGCCGGTGGCCTGTTGGTCCCGATGAGGACTTTGACTTTGCTGTGGTGGACGCGGGTGGACTTTGGATGCTTCACCATGGCAAAGGGGGTATAAACAAATGTAGGCAACACCTTGAAGGATTGTTGGACAGGTGCTCACAACTCCACAACCCAGTGTTTAGGAATGAACTTGAGAGGCTGGTTAAGAAGGTGAAAATTGATGCGAATTTTTTTCCGACCGTCGTGAGACTGCTCATGCCTTTGTGCAAAGTGTGAGAGAGGTGGAGAACTACGCAAGAATCGCTTGTCAGCAAGTCACACAAAACCATCAGCCTCACAGTTCAGTGCAAGAGAGGGTGGAGAGCTGGCCACCACTTCCCAATGCAACTGTCAAGCACCCACCAAAGTGCAGCCAAACAATGAGATGACGGCCTTCCCCCCTGAGCGAAGTCACTGGCCCAGGACATGTGAAGAGGTGGAGAATGAGAATCAGCAGCAAGGGAGATGGGGACTGAGGGGCACAGTGCCACAAGAGGAGAATGGCGATCAGTCTTCACAGCTTATGGGCACTGTGTCACAGAAGTCAGTGCCAGACTCAGACATGACCTCAGAGCAGGCTATGTCGATGGGCACTGCGCCACAGATATCAGCAGTTGTTTGTGAATGGGCCCATGAAGTAGTAGATCCCTGGGATCCAGACTTCGAGGCTGACTATGATGCTGATGAGGAGGGACCTGAGAACAAGGAGCCCGGGCTTGAGGCCTTGGATGAAAATGACGAGAATGCGGCGCTTTCCAGGTTCATGGCTTATGTGAGAAAATTGATCAAAATGAGTTTCGTGTCGACCAAAGTGACCAACCCAATGAACTATTGCGAGTGAATGCTCGCCCAGTCAAAGTCGATCTTCAGGACCCGGAAGATCCGAGAAGGAAGCCGAGATTTAAGAGTCGGTTCTGTTTTCTGATGGTTGTGGGAGCCATGAAATGCTTCAACAAGTCAATGGTGACAGTTATGAACAGACTGAAACAGGATGGCTTTGTTAGCCAAAAGCATTTGGAAGCATTTGAAGAGCGAGTGAGTCCGCCGGACCACTGGAGACACACACAAAAAACTTCCAAAGTTGCGCAACGTCCTCAAGAAGTTCAACATCAATCTGGAGCAAGAGCTGGTCATTGCCCAGGGTGAGAATGTGGAACTGACAGAGGTTTTGAACAAGATGAAAGCCGTGTGCAGTTCCATGTCTCTTCGTGATGTCTTCACGCATATTCTGTTTCTCTCGACGTACCATTGCAGCCGAGATGACAAATGCTGGAAGTTCTATGTTTTCAAGCGCTTTAATTGTGAAGGTCACACTGTGTCTGTTGTGATTGATGACATTACAACCTTCATCCTGGAGAACTGGCTTCAGTGGCAAGACTGGATTCTCGCCAAGCTGCAACAGTCTGCTGGCCTTGAGGCATTTGAGCCTGAGAATGTTGAGCTTGAATTTGACTTCAAAAGCAAAGAAATGCTGCAGAATTGGCGATTGGATGGTCGGGAAATGGAGCGTAATGTGGGATTCAGACTGTTTGTCTGGTTTGAAGACACGTTGCACACCCGAGCTGGGCGCAAGGTGCACATTCCTCAAGCGTTATCGAAGCTTCAGACTTTGCCAGATTTCTTGGCTGCCCGCGCTACGAAAAATGAGAAGGGAAGGGCCAAAAAAGAGGGAGGCCATGGCAAGACGACTGCCAACAGTCGAATCAGTGGCATGAGCACCAGTGGCCTGGGCACCAGTGGCATGGGCGCCAGTGCGTGAGCAGGGGTGGCAGAAGCACTGAAGGTCACTGTCTGCGACTGATGGTAGCGCTGAAGATCTCTGTGGCAGTTTGTCAAGATAGACTCCTTAGAGACATGATGTGAGGGTGGCTTAAAAAGGTGTGTGACCTGTCTACATTACACATTGCGAAGCTATGTAGAATGTGATTCTCAAGTGTTTGTATTTATTTGACAACAATGTTTGTTCATAATTGATGAATGGCCCAGTGAGTCAGCGGACAGATGTGTTGTCATGTGCAGAAGGTCTTGACTGACAACTGTGTCATTGATTTGAACCACTCCACTTTGTATGCTGACTGAGTCAGTTGCCATGCATGTCAACAAGAATTGTGGAAAGTGATTGGTGTGCGAAGCATTCACTGCCGTTTTCTGAGGTTGAGGCTGGGTCTGTGCTGTCCGTCCGCGTAATACGTCCATTGTTGCCAAGTGGCTTCACTTGCCTGCCAGACATCTTCGGGGTTGTACTGGTCTGTGTGGTATCCATATGAGTCCCATGACCAACTTGCTTCATGTGCGCTCCAGGTTTCTGACTGAGCTGACGAAGGCTCATCGGTGGTTGCGACATTTGATTGTTGAATCTGGTTTTGTCGCTTGCTTTTTCCCTTGCCTTTGAATGCAGCTTTTCCCTTGAAGCCTTTCTTTCCTTTCTTGCCTTTTCCATAGAAACCCGAGTTGCCAGGGTACTCTGCAAAGTGCGCCCCTGCACCTTTGCCTCTACGGCTTGTGAAGCCGGATCTTCTGCCTCTTCCGCGGCCTTTACCTTTGCCGCCTTTAGACGGTCTTCTAAACCTTCTTCCATGGTTTCTTCTGCGGGTGTATCCTCCTTTAGCTGCTAACACCAAAAGATCGGATTCTGAGAACAAACTCACAAATCCTTCTTCGCCTGTTTCCTGATCCACCGCGCAACGTCCGGACTCTTCCTCCAAGTCTCCTTCATCGAGGACAAGGAAAGTGGACCTTTTGTGCCTGAGAGGATCGAAGGATCGCAGTTCCTGTGGCGGTTCCGCGAAAGAGATCAAGGAATAAGCCTTTGACTGCTAAGTACGTATAGTTGTTCATGCTTACTTGACGGAAGGACATGCTGGTTACCAACCTTTCTCTTTGTTGCTCATTCAAGTCGGACTGAACTAGGAAAATATGCGACATCAAACTGTCAGACAATGGAAAAGTTTCACGGTGCGCTTGTTTCATGGCATCAGTGTGTTCAGTACGAACTCTTTCTGCGTTTTCTCATCTTTCGTTTGGATCTTGAAGTCCTTGAAGAAGCAGGTATTGCTGTTGCGAGAGGATATCAGTAAAGTTGAAAGCGTCTGGCTGTGGAACAGCTGAAAGATCTAATAAGCCTATCCAGGCTTCCATGACTTTCTTGCTTGCTACTTTAAAGCGAGCGACCCAACTGACAAATTCACCGTGTCGCGGGCGCAACGTGTCCCCGAAACACGCAACGCCGCCCCCCCCAGCCACAAAGCTGCCCATCGCCAAGCGCCCCCCCGCAACACTCTGCGTTTCCAGCCAACGCGCCCCTCAACGAGAGACCGAGCTTCCCAGTGGAAAGTGTGGTATAATGTTTACCCAGTCATCAATCAAATCTTCAAATTTCGAACCCAGATGACGCGTCATTTTGACACCTGGCGCTGGTTGTGTTTCATAAGTCCGGAATGTCCAACCTGAGGATCTGGACTGCTGGGAACGATATCTCGAACCTTGTGCAGCGAAAGCCTCCTCTGGTTCCGACTCTTCCTGACTATACTCTGTTTCGTTGTCCGTATCTTCTGGACCATGGTCACTACTCTTCAGACAGGTGGGCTACTTGGTTGTCTCCTGCCCGTAATGTCGGACAACGCGAAGCACACAAGCTCCGCTACCACTTTGAGGCCCAAAGTGGCGGTGAAGTACACTGGACCTGATCGATGACACCAAGTAATACCCCTTGTGGACTCTCAAGTGTGCGAGCTGCGACGAGCACACTTATATATGGCGCAGAGTGCAGTATTGGGCTTCAAAGTCGTGAGCCAAAAGTGAATTGAGCAGTAATGCTACAATGAAGAGTATATACAATCATGGACGAATAACAGGTGCTACGAGGCGCGCCTAGTAGGGGAACCTAGGACGCTACAAAACACAGGGGGGAGTGGTTGCGTGGTGGCCAATTCCGGAGAGGTGAACCCAGAGCCTGGTGGGGGGCTCGAGGGGTGCTGTGATGCCGGTGATGTAATTGACGGCGAAGAGTGCATCATCAGCACCACGAGAACGAATGCTGCCAACTTCACCCCATAAACGTATTCTTTCCATAATGTTAGCCTATCACTTCATTTTGCGCACTCACGTCGCTCCAATATCAACCTCACCACTTCCAGCTACTCTTTGTCCACTCTACCTACATACATTATATATATATATATCCTCGCCCACCCTACGTAACCCATAGCCTCGCATATGAACCCCCACCGCCGTCTTTGCTCACTGTTTCGCAACACGCCGCCGGCAAGCGCGCCTCACTTCCTTAGGGGTGCCCTTTTTCACCTCCAAATCGCCCCTGAACCAGGACGAAAAAGGGCACCTCCCTCCCAAACCTATGTCTTCGACTTTCAATTTCTACCCCCTATCAGTGTGGCTGCGCCATGAAATTAATCTTTGCCCGATGTTACCCCATCACTTCCTCTTGCACGCCAAGTCTTTGCCCGGACCTGCCCTGAGGGCACCCGCTAAGCCAGAGGCTGGTTTTCATCCCTTCCCTTCTCAGGTATATATATATATATAAGTTCATACAAGCTGTACAAGAGACTTTCGTTTCGATCCCTTTCAGGACTTTGCGTGGGAGCGCTACTACGACCTCAGTAGTTCGGAGATTGGCGAGCTCATTCGCTTTCCCAAGATGGGTTTGGTGCTCAAAGAGTTGGACCAAAGAAGACACGGGCAAACAAACATGTAAACGAATGCCAGCGCGCGAGTCCATATACATGGTTAAATACTTTCAGTGTATTGCACTTCTGATAGTATGGACAGTTTGTTTGTCTATCTTGTAAGTTTCATTTTTACATGTAAAGCGCCTAGAAAGGCACGAAGGGCAGCTGTTCTGCTTTTGCTAGGCAAAACGATCCACAAATTGGTCCATCAGTTTCCCAAGTTGGACTTGAGCGCCTATGTGCAGCCTATCACGCGCGAACGGCTCAGCTCTGAAAGAGGAAGACTCGGTGAAGTAGAAGCGAGCTTAACCCTAGTTGATTAACTAGGTGTTTGGCCCAAAGAAAGAAAACAAACACTTGAGTTGAAAGTCTGACCATCACTCTTGTTAGGCTCTTGTCTCATGGTGGAGCTGACCATTACTCCCGACTTCCAATGGGATCCAAAGGTGCATGGAAGAGCTGAACCCTTTTGGGTCTTCGTGGAGGACGAAGACGTCTCGGACGTTTTGTTACGAAAAATTGCAATCTTTGGCGCGTAACCGTGGGTGCATCTTTTGAGAGTGCAGTCAGCGGGCAGAAGATGGCAGAAGGGTAATGTGGAATGGCGGGTGGAAGGTTTCGATGGTTTCGGTTTGTCACCCCACTGTCAGAGCGGTTTTCCGGTAAATTGGACACATCCGTGCGCAAGTTGTGAATTGGAGAATTGGATTCTCACCCTTTTGCCGCAAAGTTCTCAGTTTGTTGGTCTCCGTTACGCCAATACTGGTGGCCAATGAAAAGGCATTAGTGGATTTGCAAGAGAGATTTCGCCTGTGCGAACGACAGAACAGCGCATGGATTGATGAAAGCTGGTGTTTGGGACCGATGGTGCCTCTCCGCGTCGCTCGCCCTCCCAAAAGCGCGCGCCGTTTTTGCGACAAGCGACAACCATGTAGTTTTTTGTTGTGTTGATTTCTGCGCCAAACTATTACAAAAACCGACGTGATTTTTGGAGTGTGGAGCTTATATCGCCCTTGCGGTAGAATGACGGACAGGATACGCTCAGGATAGGATTGCGCAAGCTGTTTCACAAGTTTGTCTTTGGAGTTCCCGAAAACGTTCTCTGCGGTACCAACCAACGGCAAAAGTTTAACCGAGAAGAACGTCTCAAGAGTTGTTTTTCAACATTCTTCGAGAGTCTCTCGTGTTCACAGCCCTCGACGGCGGGGCCATGAACCGGTTCCTGACATCTATGTTATTTTGATTTATTACGAAAGCCAGCCGATAGGTCGATGGGCGAACGAAGTGAGTGCGCCCGGTTGGGTACGGTGAACCAGAGCCTGGTGTGGGAGAGCGAAAGAAAGAGAGGGCCCTAAATAGAGTTAAAATGTATGTGTTTTAGGGTCTGGTGATGCAAGTGATACAAATGACGCTGAAGAGTGGATCATTAGTCCGGGTAGAGGACGGGAAAGGGGAGACTGCGCGACAGGAAATGCAATGAACGAGGTCGCCTCATTCTGAGGGAGATGACTGGGAGATTGATCTCAGCACGGAAGTTTCCTCCACAAGGGTGACACCTTGACGTGTGGGTGTACGTACTGATCGAGCACGGCGAGACTTTGTGCAAGTAAGAACCTCTAAGCTTTAAACTTTGGTAGAGACAGCGTTCGGACAATTAGGAGGACATTGCCAAAAGGGCTGTTGACCGGAAGAAAAAGGGCACCCCCTAGAACTGTGGATGTCGAAGGATGTCGGACCCTTGCAATCCAAGTCTATCCTATGGGGTACCCCTTGCTTGAGGGTGTCCTTTTCGGGCAGCACTGTTATCAAGCCTCAATGCGTGGCTTAAAAAATTGAAGTACGTGCGATTTCGTCTTCACCCTATCACAAATATTATATATTATTACAGAAGCTGGCTTTCGCCTCCTCCCTTCTCAGGTGTGATTTTGCGCGGGCTGAATGTGAGGGTTTTGATGTGTGCAGGATGTGAACGGCGAGCAAATCTTGCACCAGGAGAAACAATTTTTAAACTCTGCGTTGTTTTTTTCTTTAAAGTTCCGACGTTTGCAAACTGGTTTCTTGTTTTTTTTCGTTCTCGCGCAGGAGATGTTTGTCTTACAGGAGAGAGGGGCCGAAGAAGAGCACACGCTGAACTTCACAGTGCCCATTACGGAACCTTTGCCACCACAGCAACTTGGAACGGCAAGGAGCGGTCGGACGCTACTGGGAACAAAGGGCATCGCCACTAGGAACATGAATTCTTAGTAGGTTGGAGGTTTTCGCTAATAGGTTTGAAGGCGGGGGGGAATTCTTTTGTAACTGTGGGGGAAATGTTTACAATATGCTGGGGACGTAGTGGCTGGTTGGGATCCCCGAGGGTACTGAAGTGACAGGCGGGAACGAGACATTGGGAGGAGACATCGGCAAAGGGTGAAAGAAAGTTTTTCCCCAAACAGTGTGGTCACACTAGGGGTTCTTACGGTAGGGGAAAGGCAGGGGTGCTTAGATCGCTGTTCCGTGCGGGCGTGTGCGGCTAATTCGTTGCTATTTACAGCGCATTCATGCCTCTCGACATCGTCAATGTGCATTTCAACTGCGCAGGCTCGCTGAATCTGGCTGCTGTGGTGGAACTTGCTGATGAAGATGCGAGCCCCTCGGCTATTTTGGCCACCTTGGCGACTGAGTTTCCAGGACATGCCGTGATAGACAGTGGAGCCACCGACTCCATTGCTTCCCTAGAGGCTTTGCAGATCATGGACATCCGAGTCCGCAAACATGGACACCCAGCAGAAACGGTTTCGCTTTGGCAATGGCCTGCCTCAATTTGCCAAAGGACAAGCCTTTGCTTTGGGTGTGCATTCATTAGATGCACCGGGAGTGCCCCCTCTTTTGTCTGTGGCCACCCTGACCATTGATTTTTGCGAAGGAGAGCATTTGTTTTCAGGCCTGGATCCGGAGTCCTGAGGAATGGATCCCTCCCAAGCGGGGACTCAACAAGAACCTGCTCCTTGATCTGACCGAAGACTGGTACCTCGCCTTGTTTGAGTGATGTTTCCGAAACCCCACCTTTTCACGCGCATCATGATCACGATGTTTTGCAGAGCTGTGAAGATGAAGAGTTGGTTTCAGATGCAGTCATGCAAGCAAATGGCCTCTCACGTTCACCTCAAGGTTCATTCCATGTGGGCCCATCAACCACGACAACACCTCCTACGGACAGCGCTTCCGGCTCAAGTATGCCAACTCGGCCGTGCATTTTTACGTTTGCTGCCGCTTCCCTCATCGCTTCCTTTCATGTCTCAACCACAGTCCCACGGCTACCCGTCGGACATGAACCGAGCGAAGCAGACCAATTCGCCTATGCCCGTCCAGCGAACGCTACGACTACAACAGGGAGGAGGGCCCGGACCCTCGAGATCCCAGGACGGTGGCTTTCCATGTTGGGGACAGCGTGTTCCCACGAAGGAAGGCCGAGGATCCCTCTCCGGCTGGAACAAGTTCGCCAAGTGGGTGGTCTGCAACACACGCCGCCTTCGCATCAGCTACATCCCGACCTACGGCAGCGCAGGAAAAAGTTATTTGGCCGTGGAAAAGCCGGTAAGGCCGTGAACAAGTGTGCGTTTGGACGTGAAAAAGAAGCGGCTCTTGGCCGCGAAAAGGTGTGAAAAACGTGAACTCAAGGAGTTGAAGCCGTGAAAAAACCAAATGGCCGTGAAAACGGGCAATGGCATCAAAGCTTTACAAAATAGGGTCGAGAGCTGTTTGATCGCAGTTTTAGTGATCAAATGGCTCCCCAGGAATGGTGCCAAGAGCGAGGCATTGAAGTGTTTCCCATCGCTGCCGAGTCACATGGACAAGCCGGACTCGTTGAGCGAAGCGTCCAGACAGTCAAGCAGGTGGTCAAGAAGATCTTGCAAGGTGAGAACGTCACACCATGGCAAGCGGTCATCCAGGCCTGCCAGACCCACAATCAGATGGAGTGTGTGGAAGGGTACACACCCTACCAATGTCGCTTTCACGACCGTGGCTATGATGACCCATGGCGGACTTCCTCGGCCGTGCCCGGAAGCTCAATGGCAAGCGACTTGAAGTTGCCCTGAGCATTGACTCTTGATTCTGATCAATCAACTTCTGTTTTTTTGATTGATTTGGATTTGATTGAAAAATTGATTTGATTGATTCTATTTTTGGATTTTTATAAGCTCTAAAAGTTTTAAAAACAATCAGATTTTATATTGATTTTCTGTTTGTTCCCAAATATTGATTTTGGGGGTGCATGCTGCTTGAAGTTTTGGCTCAAAAGGCGCTCTGCATAAAGCTCTATAGGGAAAGCCCTCAACCTTGAAAAAGGTAAGTTCCTAAACAAAGGAAAACCCACAACTACCTTGAAAAAGGTATGTCTGGCAGAGGAGGGGCTAGGCATTTCAGTAAACCTTTGATTGATCAAGGTTTGCTGTATAAGGTCCTTTGTGACCATGAAGATCTGGTGATGGACATGAAGGGGTATGAGCATTTGAGCAGGAACAGTGCTGTCAACCCAAAGCTATGCACCAGATGCTCCCCCTCATCAAAGCCTGGAAGAGAATCTCCAATGAGGAGGCTTTGGCAAACCCTAAGAGCGCCCATAAGCTATTCCCAGGAGTGATTCCACGCTTGAGCGCTAAAATGGTTCGAGGAGACTGCTTGCGCATCCTCTTTACCAAGGGGGTGCTTGGGCACCTTCTTGGTAGTTGCGTCCATTATTTTAATATTATGATGGAGTTGGAAAAACCCAGAAGGTGTCTCCAGAACAAAGATTGGGTTCAATCTTTGAAGCTGCGCAGAAAGAATATGTTGCGCAGGAGACACCTACCAGGGTCACCAACCTGCGCTTGAGCATGCTGTGCAACCCAAAGGAGCCCCACAAAAGCATGGCTCAATTGAATCTCAAGGCCTCAGAGACCAAATGGTTTCTGCAGGCTTTTGCACCTGTCCTCCAGAATCTTGTGTCTCTTGAAAAAGAGCATGAAGCAACTATGTTGCAAGCAGTGGAAGACATGGCAAAGCTCACTGACCTGTTTGATCAAGGAGATGTCTTCTTGACTAATGGGGAGTGGCTCAAAGCCATGAAGCTGGAGAGAGCTTCTTGAAAAAGTATAGCTCTCTCTCTCTCTCTCTCTCTGCTTGGGCCCTTGAAAAAGGGAGATCCCTCTTCCACATTGTGATGAAACATCACACTTTTCAACTAGTTGAGAATGCAAAATTCTTAAGCCCAAAGACACACTGGACTTTCTCCTCAGAAGACTTTGTTGGGAAGATGAGCATTCTCACGTCTTCTGTAAGTCCTGGGGTGTCTTCAACAAGGGTGAGTGCAAAGGTCGCTCCCAAGGAGAAACATTGAACCTTGAAAAGGGGCAACTCCCCTTGCAAGCTCCTTGAAAAAGGAATTGCGTGGCTAGACCATGAAAAAGGTCGGTGGACTTGCATTCCCCTTGCAAGCTCCTTGAAAAAGGAATTGCATGCCTAGACCTTGAAAAAGGTCAGTGGACTTGCAAAAGGCCTGTCCAGACTAGCTTGTCTGAAAGGAAAAAGGCGCCTGCTAGCTTTCAGGGTATATTGAGTTTATTGATTTCCCTTTTGGTTTATTTTTTGATTTTGCATATTGATTTTGATGGGCTTCCAAAAATAATGATATGGAAATCAAAAAAACAGTTCAAAAATATTGATTTTGTTTGTAAATCAATCAGCATTAAAGTTTATTGATTAGGATCAAGATTCGACGCTCAGGGTGAGGTTCAACGCACAGCAGGCCTATGCGTGCTTTCAAGCCTAGGAGCTTGGCCCGAGAAGATGCCAAACAATCGAGAAGGGCCCCAGAAGATGCCCGCAAGGCTTCAAAAGAACCTAGTCAAAAAGAAGCTGGCGGTGGAGAGGCGCACCGTGAGACCGAGCTTCCAAGAATGGAAAAGAAAGGACTTCGGGGCATGATCCCGGTAGGACCTCGGCCTCGCGTAGATCTTGATCGGTGTTTGACCGATCCCCGGTTTTCGCCCGCCATTAATTCAGCGTGGACGACCAACTGGAGAAGTCTTTGAGCAGCCGATGTTCAAGAAGCGCGGCCAGGAGCTTGGAGTGTCTGGTGATGAGGCTTTGCGTTCGAGCTCCTACTTCGTCGATGAAGATGACCCGGAGTTTCTAGCGCTACTACGCCAAGAAGATCAAGGGCGTGGAGGTGAAACGGCGTGAGTTGACCCCTAGCAGAAGAAGGAGTTCCAGGTTGCCAAGAACGAGGTGACTCAGTGGATGGCTCAATCCACTGTGAAGCGAGTGTTTGGACCCGTTCCCAAGGATCGCCTGATCCGCGTGCGATGGGTCCTGACCTGGAAGGAGAGCGGCAGTGCGAAAGGAAGAATCGTCCTCATCGGCTACCAAGACCCAGATGCCGGTGATTTTCTTTCGAGTGCCCCACGAGGAGGATCGCTAAATTATAACTATAGTTAGAACTTGATTAACGTACGTTATAACACGATTAACTTAGGGTTGTAACTTCACTAACTTGTAGAACACTTATGGAAGTTACAACGGTAGTTAGGGAAGTTAACTGATTGTCAAGGTGAAGATACTAACTTATGTTTTAACTTCTACAAAAACGAACGGTAGAAGATAAAGAAGATAGAGAAGTTAGCGCGGCTTGTTTTTTCATATGTTTTCAGCTTTTTTCATATATTTTCTATTAATTGTGAGTTCTCACATTTCAGAGCTTTTCTGGCTCGAATGTGGGTGGGGCGCCATGAGCCGACGGAGCATGCAGGACTACATCCGCATATACGAATACATGAGCGAGGAAGATTGGAACAAAGTGCATGGATCCAAATCTGCCTGCGGGCAGAAGCTATATTCTTCCGCGCCTGGCGCTTGGGCATGATAACTCCGACGGAGCGCAGCCTTGCCGTGAGGGCGATCCTCCCCAGACACGCAGATGCCAGCCACTGTCACCGCGCGCCAACCCTCTTCGGAGGGCACCTTCTTCGTCGGAGTATATGTTTTTGTTCGGAGGGTATATATAGCCCTCTTCGGAAGGCCTCTTCGGAGGTTGTGCGTACAGAGCCCTCTGCGGAGGGCGAATAAAGGCATCTTCGGAGGTTGCACATACAGAGCCCCCTTCAGAGGGTACTGTATATACAAATATATACGGCCTTCTCTGGAGGTTGCGCCCTCTTCGGGGAGGGCAGGGTGAGCAGGGAGGCCTTCCTATGTCTCCTGCGCGCGAGGTCACTCCGCGACAA